TCATTGTATATTTTCAGAGCTTCTGTGGAGATCTTCCCTTTCACTTCTTGCTTTCATGATTATAACCTTAGAGTGAAACCAATCTAGAACCAGAGGAAGTAAGAGTAGGCTAAGTTTTGGTCCAGCAAAACCAGCTCTCACCACTGCTTCTTTGTGTCTACATTGGATGTCTCTTTGAGAAGCTGAGAAACCCCAACTTACATGTTCTAGTTCATGCCTTCACTAAACTTGTGAGGCTCCCTCAAACCCATTTATCAAATTGAAGGGCTGTAATTAAGATTGTAGAGAAGGAAAACACTATAGAACATTAGAGCTGATTGGGACTTTACAGACACTCATTTTGCAAATGAGTATCCTTTCTTGTTGAAGGTCACACTGGCAAAGCTGAGACTAGAACTGGGGCCATAGGGAATCTAGCTGATTTATTGCCTTCCTTGGATCCATCCTCCATGGATTAATTTCCCTTACATACAGTTTTCACTCTTATTAGATTCCTGTTCAAAGATAAAAGTTCTAGCTTCTTCTCTATATAAGACCTTTAATACACAAGCACTTCTATCTTCCAAACCTTTTCCCTAAGTAGTCACCTTGAGCCCCTCATTTTGGTACAAGTGGTCTGCTCCTTGCCCCCCAGAAATGCCTTGTTTCTTCCTTGAGCTCACAGTATTTCCAGGCATCATCCCTGTTGTTCCATTTAAGTTTTAGAGCCATCCAGCTTTCAAAGTACATGTTAAGGGATATCCCTGCCAAGCTTGGGCTGGCTCCTGTGACATAACCCAGATTTTTGTATGGTTTGTGTTTTTCTCTTTCTCTTTTCACATGTGTAGATATATTGCCCTCAGGTAGACTTTAAACTTTTTTGAGTACAGGATGAGAATCTGATTCATCTGGAGCTCCAGTGCCAGACAAATACATTTATTTATTCATTAAATTAACAGACATTTTTATTGAGTACCTATAATGTATTAGGTCCTGGGATTGGGGAATGATAATTACTTACCTCAAGGATCCAAGAGTTTAGTTTGAGATACAGGCAAGCAGAGAGGCCAAGTGTTGTGTGGTGAGTGTGGTGACAGGAGCTGTGGAAGTACAGTAAAAGGGTAAGTAACTCGAACCTGAGGAGAGAGGACAGGAATCATGTCTTTAAGGACTAGTAGGAAGTTAGCTCAGGGTCTAAATAATGCAGAGGAAATGGACATTATTTTTAATTGAGAGTTAGCTTGGTTGAAAGGGAACAGATAAAACCCAAAGATCCAGTAGAATTTCCAGCAGAATGACCTCAAAAGAAGCATAAAACTCTACAAGTATAGAAGTTATTAGAAATATGATTAAGATCTATTATTTAAGAAATTATTATATCTAGATGACTTACATTGAATTCTTATAAACCTTTAAATAGCACATAATTTCTCATCCTTAAACTAACACAAAGAGTAGAAAAGGGTACAGAACCTTTGTATCAAAACTTAGTAAAGTAAAACAAGTAGAGAAAAAACACACTACAGAACAATCTTACTTATGATTTATGTACAAAAGTTCTATGTAAAATAGCATATTTAATTCAATAACATATCAAAACACTACAGCTGAGATTGAGTAGGATTTTTCTAGAAGTGCAAAGCTGGTTCAATATCTGGAAATCCAGCAACATGAATCATTATATTGCTAAGTTAAGGGAGGGAAAAAGGTAATTATATCAGAGTCTGTTAAGGACGGTAATACAGAGATTCTAGAAAGGGATGAGTAACCAAGGAGATAAGCCTTCAGTCACTCATCCATTCATGCAAAGCATATTTTTCTAAGGGCGTCCTAAACTTCCTAACCAGGCACCGTGCTGGTATAGTGAGATCACTCAGGAGCTTCCAGCTTATTAGAGCAGATCGGCAAGTGAAAAAAATGGCTTCTGTGTGGACAGTTATAAGTATGAAACAAATACTGAAAGAGCCCAGAATCAAGCTACTCATTTTGGGGGAAATGTTTTTAGCATTAGAGACATTTGAGTTGGGTCAAGATTTTAAAAAAGTCTCAGTAGAAAGCAAGGGCAGTGAAATGCATTGTAGATGGTAGGCATGGCATGAGCAAAGGCTCAGGTCATGAACATTCATTATAAATCCTGGGAAGGGTGTCACTGGGCCACTTTTGACATACCGAAGAGTGATAGTAGAAGATGCTGTGAAGGTCATCTGCTGCAGATACTTGGCCAGACCCTGGCATTCTGAAGAGGTGGAGCTGGAGGTGCCTCCATGGGGAGGGCAGTGTTAGGGTAATAGATGGTGCTGGGGAAGACTGAAAAGATGGTGGAGTCAATGATTTGCATATAGATGCTTAAGTTTCCATTGTTCATGCTCTCCCAGAAAAATTCCACAGTCAGTTAGCATTGTGGGATTTTGCTCTGGAAGTGTACTTCTTTGCTTTCAAAATCACTGCATCCTATACTAGCCCATTTTTAAAAGTTTCTATTTTGGAATAACTTTAGTGTTACAGAGAAGTGGCAAGGATATTAACCCATTTTTAAAAAGGTACAAGTAAAATTTATACTGCAAAAACATATAGCGCATTAAAATTTCCAAATCTTTTTTTTACCCTGCCTGTTTCCCACTTATAATCACTTTAGTCATGTTGAAAGCAGAACATACACTTTTACACCTTTTAGTAGAAGACTGAGAATCAATTTTTAAAAAAAACACACACAAAATTAGTGTTTCTCAACCCTGAGAGATGGGCTTGGGTTTTCTTTCCTTTTTTTTTTTTTTTTTTCTTTTTCTTTTTAATCTTCTCAAATGATTCTAAATAACACAGCTAGGTTTAAGAACCATGAGTAAGCCAAACGTTCAAGGATGCTTTTCTATATTGGTTTTGTGCTAGGCCTTGTAAGGATGATTTAGGGATGTGTGAAATATACTCCCTGCCCTTTCAAGGAACTCACAATTTAGTAAATGTATATGTACACAGTGTGTGCATGAGAAACGGGGGGAAGAGGAAAAGAAAGGCCCTGAAAGCAAACTGAAAAGCTAGTTACTGGCTTCAGTAACAAAAGCCTCCTGTCTGTCAATTTAGAATCCTTTTCATTGATATTAATGTTATCATCTTTTAAAAAAATCCTCACCTGATATGTTTTTTGTTGATGTGAGAGAGTGAGAGAGAGAAAGGGGGAGAGAGAAAAAGAGAGAGAAAGAGATAGAGAAACATTGATTGGTTGCCTCCCATATGCACCCTGACCAAGGATCAAACCCACAACTTAGGTATGTGCCCTGACCTGGAATCGAACTCACAACCTTTTTGGTGTATGGGGTGATGCTCCAACCAACTGAGCCACCCAGCCAGGGCAATATTATCTTCTTTTACTGAGAAATCTATACCTCTAACAGTTTCCTCTCCTCCCTTTGAATAGCACTTTACAATATGTAAAACACTTTAATTTTGTTATGTCATTGGTTACCATAAAAACTAAGGAGGATTTGAGGAGGTCAGGGCTTTTATCTTAATTTTGAGGGGGTGGAAGTACCTGAGACAATTGATAGGGACATGGAGGTTGCTCAAGGTTGTGACTCTTATCCTGTGTGACCTGATGCTAACACCCAGGCGACACTGTTCCCCTTCTTTCTTCTTTACCCCATCTGTCTATTCCCATGCCATGTGCTGAGTGAGGCCTTTATTTTTTTCTGCATTTCCAGTGCTTTTGTCTTTACAGACATCTGGAGGTAATCATGTAGCCCTCTCAATTAATTCAGCTCAATTAATAAATTACTGGGTGGATTTGGGTTTAGAGCGGGTGAGGGTGCCTTCCGGGCCTCCCTGTACTGAAGGGCTCTTCAATCAGGCTTGGAGAGCCTCCCCCAGCAGCAGTCGCTGAGGCTCAGCCCCAGCCTGCAGGCTGCCTACAGGGGTGATTGGCTCACTCTGACATGTAAGCATCACTTTTCTTTCCTTACACAGTGTATTCTAATCTGTTTAGAAGAGCATCTGGGCTGGGCTGGTTTGTCTGCTTCCTAGTTAAGTTTTTCATAAAGGTCCAGTATGAAATCAGTTTACCATAGTTCTTCATGGGGCATTTCTTTGTCATGTGGGACTGACGGGTGCATTATAGGTTTGAATATTCTGGCCCCTGGCCAGTAAGTGCCAGTAATTATCCTAGGCATAGTGGCAAACAATGTTCTCATCCTCTAAACTCCAAGTGCCCCTTGGTGGGGCACAGAACTGCTCCTGCCAGAGGGACCATTTTAAAGTATCTTGCCATGTATCTTGTATGCCCTGTTTCAAGAATCGACTTTTGGAGGTTCCTAAATGCCTAAATAAGTTTAAGATCCTCAGGCTTGCATGTAAAGCTGACTGTGTTCTGACTCCATTCCACATTTAGCTTTTTTGCTAGCTACTTTTTCTTATTCCGCCCCCAGTCACACTAAGTGTAAGGCCTGTGTCCATGTAACTTTGCTAACATTGCTCAGGCCTGACCTCTACTCAGCCCTCAAGGCTCTGTCCAAAGGTCACGGCATCAATGAGGTCTGCTGCTGCTGCCAGCAAGGAGTGATCTTATCTTTTTCTGCAGCAACACTTTTTAATCCTCACTTAAATAACTTAACACTTCATTTAGGTACATATCATCATTTAATTGGTGTGATAATTATTTTAATAGGTGGTTAATACAACTGAAGGTTTTTCAACCTTACTGGTATAAGATTCTCCTACCATAGAAACTACTCCAGGTTATGGATGATTTCTTACTTATATCTATTTCCTGGGGTGTGCTGGGCACTAACATAATACCTGTTAGAAGAGAGGTATTTACGATGAATTAGTTGGAGTGTTTAGTTATTCTTCTGCTCTTCCCCCTCCCCTTTTCCTTCTTCCTTCATCCATCTTCTCTCTCTTCTTTCTTCTTCTCAGAGAGCTTTTTCAAGATTTCATTAAGTATGGATTAAAATGAAATAATAACAAAGTAAGGTATGTTGCCTCATTTTCATGCTTCCATAAAAACAACTGTATATATTTTTTAATTCCAGATTCCAACAATGTCTCACCCATCTTGGCTGCCACCCAAAAGCACTGGTGAGCCCCTTGGCCATGTACCTGCACGGATGGAGACCACCCATTCCTTTGGGACCCCCAGCATTTCAGTGTCCACACAACAGCCACCCAAAAAGTTTGCACCGGTAGTTGCTCCAAAGCCCAAGTACAACCCATACAAGCAATCTGGAGGTGAAGGTAAGTGTAGGGATTTCAGAGTTGGGTTTCCAAAGCAGGAGAGTTCAATGTAATTAAAGAGATTTACAGCACATTGTATCAGAAAAAGGTAGCTCAAGAATTTGTAGTGTTTCTTTCATAGTTAATTATACAAGGACACCTAGGAACTATCTAAGCCAACTCTTATTTTAGGGATAAAGAGACTGAGACCTCTCAGGGGTTATATGGCCATGGTTACACAGTGAATTAGGGCTAGAATCTAAACTAGAACTCTGCTCTCTTCATTCACAGCTCACTGTCCTTCTGCTGCATTGTCCTCTACCCCCTCCCATTGTCCTGCAGAAATGTGTCTACACCCTAGTGGACTCTCCCTCTTTCCATTGGACAAGTGTCCCAGAATGCTGCTATGTGGTCTAAAGGGAAGCCCATGTGGAGTGAACCTAGTAAGGACCTGGAATTGGATTGCTTTCTCTGGCTATTTTTCCCCCTCTAAGCTGCTGTAGGATAAAGTTGTTTGGAGAGCTCTGTGAGATCTGCATTTGTTGAAGCGCACAAACAAATTTGAGTGAAGCCTAGCTTTAGGGGTTTTAATCACAGTACATTCAGTTGACATCAAGTGGAATGTGAAGATCTACATGAGCTCAGCATCTCAGGCATATACATATGTGCATGTTCACACATCACCCCACAGGGAGCACAGAGAATGCGTACTGTTTGGTTGAAGTGATTCCACACTTTGGCTAATCAGTGTCTGCAATTCATCCAAACTCATGAAAGTAACCAACAAACAGAGAACGTTAGACTTCTGGTTTCTGAGAGAGGAGGCAGTGAAAGGAGATTTAGCCCCCTTTCTCTATTTTCTCTCTGTCCCCTCACCCTTTTTTTTTTTTTTCAAATTACTGTATTCTCTCCAGGATGTTTCTACTTTGTTCTTAGATGATATTAGTGTTTTTGTTTCAGCAATTTTGCCTGAGACCATTTCACACTCTGTGATATAGTTCAGCCTCTCTTTTATCATTCTAGTTCTCTCCCTGCCCCCAGTCAACACTTTACTAGTCTATTTGTATTTTAGGACTGAAGTCGAAAGCCTAGCCCACATGTCTAGCTGTGTAAGGTGACGGGTTGCTTAGGCAGGTGGTGGGGAGGCCAGGCACCAGCGTGCATGCATGAGCTGTGGCTGTGGGTCCTTCGGCATCCTCTCTCCAGAAAGGGCCATGTTGAAACCGCCAGAGAGCTGCTGTGGAAGAACAATAAACAGTGCCCTTGGTGCTCTACTACTCTCCATGGCAGTGCCCGAAGCTATACTGGCCTTGAAGGAGGTTGCATCTTTGCAGCTCATCAGGACTCTGTGGAGCTGCGTTTCTTTGACTCATTGCAGGACTCAGGAAAGGGGTCGGGAAGAGGGAAGATAATCCCTCTTCACAAGGACAAGAAGAGCCATGTGTTGGCTTTCGCACCTTGTTTTCTCAATGTTTCCCCTGGTCTGCTCACCAGGGGGATTGTTAATGTGTCTCCTCACATTTGGGGAGAACTATAATGGACTTCCCTCTAATATGAAAGGAATAAAGACAGGGTCTCTTATCAAGTAGGAGACAAATGTGTGAGGAAGTCTTAAGAGGTATGACAGTCGATGCACAGCCAAGGGTGAGAGTGGGAGCGGGTCCTATATGAAGTCGGGCATGCAGGAGAGGGAGGAGAGCCACATATAATGGTGTCCCGCAGACTCCTTCACTCTGAACACTGGGAATTATGGTGAATTGGCTCTTGGGGCACTCATGCCTGAGGTGCCCCGCCTTCTTCACTGCATCATGTGAGGTTCACTCACAGTTTATCTTGTTCTCCAGGGACACCGGCGTACTCTCCGATACTCTGCATCTCTTTGCTCAGCTCCGTGCTTTTTCTTAACTTGCCATTACACACCTTTTGTCACCTATCAAATCCTTACTTGTATCACCTTTCCCAAAATGTCTAGGCATGGCCTAGATCAGAAGTAATCACTCCCTTCCCCGGCTTCCCACGTATGTCTTACTCTGACTATCAAATTTCTTCTTTGGTTATTTGTCCTGCTCTTGCTCTGTCAGGCACTGAGCATGCAGTCTGTGAGGCACTGCGCTTCCTCATGATCATTTATTTCATTGCCTGCCCTGTAACCCTATGAAGCAAGTGTCTGTTCACATAAAGAGATGGAAGCTTAGAGAGGAGAGGTGTTATCCTGTGCGGTTTCATGGCTACTAAGTTTTTAAAACGAGGCTGTGCCCTTATCTGTGTGCCCTGCTGCTTGTCCTGTTCATGGCATATGTGGCACTCAGGCCCCATATGATCGAGATGCTTTCCTGCTTCCTTGTGAGAATGTAAGCTTTGTTTCCCCATTTAAGCAACAAGACATGGTTTCTCACTTGTCCTTATGTTCCTCTTGGCTCTTATTACGCTACTGTGTTTTTAGTAGGAAGGATTGTGTATGGTCAAATGTATGTCTGTATGTTCTTATGTATGTATATATTTGGATGGATGGCGGATGGCTGGATGGGTGAAGGAAGCACTCAGTAATTCTTTTCTTACAATAAACAGTTTGGAATATGGCATCCTCATTTGAAGCGACTCAGTCTCATTTAATTTCTGAAGTCTAGATTCTTTCTTGCAGTTCTGCCAACCTCTCTCTCTTTTTAATATAACCTTTTTTGAATACATGAAGGAAAAACATTTCCCTTGCATATATACATTTTAAAGACAAATATGGGGAAAGGTTTATGGATATTCAGACTTTTTAAAATGAAGTTACTTCTCTTCATCTGCTGTATTATGGCATGATATTTGTTAGAAGTACGAGATTTGCTTTACTTTATATTTAATTTAAATGTTAGGGCATTCTCTGTTACTCAAAACATTTTTATAATTCATGCTAGTTTTGTTTAAATTTTTATACATTTTTAAAGTTTTTATACTTTTTTTTTCTTTTCATTTTTGTCCACTTAGAATGTTCTATGCCATTAGTGAAATCCCCAGGGAGTAGGTAACATTTTTTATTTACAGAGTGAATTGATGATGCCATGGTCTCATGCCTCAGCTCACGCCATCTTTTGCTTTTAGCATACACTCTCCTGAACTTCTGTCCCATAAAATCTTTTCATTCACAGCTTAATTCAGAGACTGACTGGCCTCTAAGAACCCAATCGAAAATACAGAAAGATAGAACTAATAGAAGTCTCATAGTCCCTCTTTTCCTGGTGTCAGTGTGAGAGCTGTAGTGCAGGGTGTTAGATGCACAGCCTGCTCAGGGCAGGGTTGGCACTAGACCTCGGGCGCCCTCTGAGTCCAGAGTTAGCCTGGATGCATTATAGTCTAGTGAGGTCTCTTTTTCATCATGCCTTAACCTCTTTATGCGTTTCTCACCTTGGTTATTATATCTGTCACCTCTGGGGGTTGCTTTCACATTTTTAAAATTCTGACTGTGAAAGTGGAAAAGTACCCACATGTTTTCCACAACAACTTATATTTATGTGATACCACATATTATAATTTTCTTTTATAAGATAGTTTGCTAATAATCTTTCTTTAAAGGTCTTTGGCACACTTAAAAGTGGGATGTGCTTCCCCCCCAGTAGGTAGCTGTTTAGGCCGTAGGATCCTTTCATTTTACTACCATTATTCTCATACTTTTATTGATTATTCTTAACAATTTGTGTCTCCTCCCCTGTTTGGAATGTCCCTGCATTTCCAAACACCTTTTTGTGTCCTGTACTATATGCTATGAGCCCATATATATATTTTATGAAGTTTTGTCTTCATACATATTTTACCATGTTAAGTGGCCTTGTCATTTTTGTGGGATGACTTTGGTATGTACGTCTGGTGTTGTCTCATCACCTTCTATTCTAGACTACTGAGGGCAATGGGATGATGTGAGTTTTCTATTGGTCTTTAAGGTACGAGCTGGTAGTGTTCTTCATCCTATAATCCGGGTCTCTGCTGTCTCTGCCTCAAATTTGAAAACACAAAACACCTCCCCCTCCAAAACAAAACAAAACAAAACAAAACAAAACAAAACAAAACAAAACAAAACAAAACAAAGCCTTAGATTTTGATGGCAGAACAGGGTATAGATCTTTCTTTTTCAGTTCCCTTGGTAGATATAAAACAAATTGAGATTTCTATGCTTTATTTTCTTGGGATGATTTTGAAATTTGTCATTTTTATCCATTATTACAATAGATTATTATACAGAACGATTTGTAAAGTTTACAAATGAAATTTGTAAAGTTTGTAAAGTGGAGTTCTCTTGTGCCCTGGAGTTGACTTTCTCCAATCTCTAAATTTTTTAAAAACATTTTTAATGTGAAATTTTCAAAAAAGTAAATCCATAGGGTACATATTCAAGGTGACTCAGTAGAATGCCTTTATTTTTGTACAGTTCTTTATAGTTCATACAGTGCTTTCATAGTGATATCATTCAGTTCTCAAAAGAGAATTTTACTCTAGCTCTCTGAGTTGGGTGGAACAGATGTTATTGCCATTTTACTGAGTGGTAAGCTACCAGTACTGAAATAACTTATTCAGTAAAATAGTAGAGCTAGGCTCTGCTCTTCATATCTAGGACTCTTACTGATTTTAAAGGGTTCTATTTGTTGGAGATTGGACTAGATCACCTCATTTATTTTAATTTCATTATTTTATTATTTCATGGTCTTTTCTTAAAAATTAATTTCAAAATGGTTGCTCTTTTCACATATTATTCCTCCATATGTTACCTTTTACACAACTATATAATATAAATAAGGCCTCTGTTTTCAATCTTTGCCTATATTGCTTCACCTAGACCTTAAAGTTAGATCAGAATGGCGGGAATTCTATTCAATGAAGGAGATTTTATTTTACTAGATCTCTCTGTGCTTTTCTGCTACCCTGAGGTTATTAATCCATTCCATGGAGGGGGAGGTACTAGTTATAGGTGATTGCTAATTTGCAGTAGACATAGTAACTAGAACAAAATACCATTGTGAACAACTAAGTCTCCCATGATGGAG